AAAGACTAAGCCTGAGAACACAACAGAAATCACAAGACATCAATGAGATTTTTACCACTTTTCATTATAGTTTGTTCCACGTGACTCTTAGAATTTATCATTAGAAAACAATATACCTTTGTTCGGCCCTGTGTCATGTTACTAATGACTGCAATCAGTTTCTGAAGCTCAAGCAGGGCTCTCTAGGTTCCCAGAAAAACAGTAGCCAGACCCCTCTGGCTACATGGGGCACTTAGATTAATAGCAAAGAATGAGACAATGATATCACATTGGGCAGCACTGACTCCCATATAGGTCAATCTGGGGGCTCTGAATTACACTAGGAAGCAGGAATGTCCTACACTGTCATGCTACAAGAACTGAACCTTCTTAGTCTTGAACAGAGAAAACGACAATGGAACCAGGTCCACTTACTGTATCCAGATTGTCAGAGGCATCAACAAAGTCAACTCAGTGGGCACCTTTAGAGTTGTCAGTGAATCACAAGGCCACAAGTGGAAACTAGAGGAAAGTGCATTCCAGACCAAGAACAGGTGGCTCTTCTTTCTCCAACAGGTTGTGGAAGTGTGGATCGAGGTACCCAGCCATGTAGTTGAAGCCGATATTGTGATTTCTTTAAGAAACAACCAGAATGAGATCCTTGGATCAATTACATATTAGCCACCAAAACAACTTGAATGATCTAATGGCCTAATCTCGGTTGTAACCTTTCTGATGTTTTTATGTACCCGTTCTTTCATACTGCTGTCTAAAGTTATGGTGACAGTGAAATGTATCTTGATGTTTGTCAGAATGTAATCACATGAATAAGCCCAACAAAAGGGAAGCCTTTGCATCTGTCAGTTGAAGAAATTGTGAAATAAATGATGCAAAGAAATAAGATGATTACACTGTTCAGATGCCAGCATGATAGCTGATAAGGCAGCTAAGCCGAAGACCTTGGTGCCTTAGCATCTGAAATAAATTATTAAGTAACGCTTACTTTTCAACATAGGTTCTAAGTGCAAACAACTTGCTCTTTTCTCTACCTTAAACAAAACAGATGGATATATACAGTATGATTGTTCTTTAAAAAAATGACCTTGCATGTTATTGTGTATGTAAGATCAGAAGATGCTGTGAATTGTGGGATATGTGAATATTAATTAGTAGTAATAAGGAATAAGGGCTGGTTGTTACAGCTAAGTAATAGTCACATTTAACCTTTAATCTAATTAACAGGTATATGTAGCTAGATGGACAACTATTCTTGGCATACACAGGCTCCACAAATGGCATCTATTAACCTGAATTATGGGAAGGGGTTGACATCACTGCAGAGCATGAGGCCTCTGTGAGTGGCTCAAGGGCAGGACAGGTTAGAGGAGCCAGTCTGCAAAGTCTCGCTCTCCCTGTCTCAGTACAGAGGTCTGTCTTCTAATCTAAACCAATTTCTTATTTAATTTGAAATTTACTCGTTCAGATAAGTCAATTGAGAACCGATTCTCATTTACAACCTGATCCACTTACTGGCAAACTGGAGAGGCAGCCTTTTATACAGCGAGTATTTTTACTGGAGCGATCTGAGTGACGCTCATTGTCAGAATTTAAACCTACTACCCCCGCTCCCACTCCACGCTGCCATCCCGGGCTGGACCGCCTCCCAGTCCACAGCCAGAACCAGCGCTCCGCGCCGCCGTCCTGGACAGTCAAAAATCTAGAGGTTCTAAATTGGGTATTGTAATGTGCAGTACTTATAATAAGGGTAGACAAAGCACAAGGCTGAAGTAAGCAGGCAAGGGTCGAATCCGTAAAACTCAAAATCAAGGTGCTGAAGGAGAATCAAGTAAGAAGTAAAGTTCAAAAGCCAGTGCAAAGACAAGCAACAAGCCAGAGGGAAATCCAAATGAAAAAGTGCAAAAACCAAACACAGCCAAAATGAGGAAGCTCATGGAAAAATGCCAAGACCGGGCGAAAAACACACTCAAACTAAGAGCCTCAGTATCGCCAGGGCAGGTCTTAAATACCATGTATTAAGGATGTCAGGTGGGACTGATTTCCATCCATACCTCATTGTTATGGCAACAGCCTGTTCGACAGATCTGTCAATTGCAGTGTTTTCAGTGCAGTTGGTGATCCTATGGCGAAAGTGCACATGATAGGTATATAATAACAAAAAATAGCCATTTGTGTTATTTTTAATAAAATTTTAAAAACAAAATGAAACCTTCCAGTGAAATCTGATCTTTAACTGTAACCAGGTAGCATACTGTACAATATTTGTATATCTGTACATAGTATTGCTCAAGTTTTACACAACTAAAGTAGTTTTTCTATTCTTTACTCTTGATTATATATAACTATTATATTACATTACGCATCAATATGGAAGAGGTAAGCATTACTTGAAGAAGGACTGAGATCATCGAAACCTAATATGACCACAAATATTTACATAGCAATTTAATTTCTTACTTACATTTTGAATTCCTATTTTGGTAAAGCGCTGTCCATTTCTATTCATATAAATGTTTCATTCTATCACCTCTTAAAACCACATTACTCGGTGTTTCTCATGACACTGTCTTAAAAGTGATATCAGCTCTGCCTCAGCCTGCTCAGTTTCTGCTTTCCTCAGCAAACGGGAACTGTCGAAGTCTACAAGTTCTCCTGCACCACACAGCCAAAGAGGGTGATTGCTTACTATTGCAGTATCAGCAATTCTGTGGATTTCACTCAGGTGAACCACAGTGCCAACAATGCTATAGTAGAGCTCCAGAGTGGAGAGTTACCCACTGAAATAGAGAATAGTTTAGGCACTGATTCTGTGGATGACTTTTACATAATGCCTGAGAATATCATAATAGACACTTTATGCTCCCTTTGCAAGTTCTTTTGGATCTATACCTCTGTATTAAACAGTTTCCTTGAAGAACTGCATACAGTGTTGTTGTCTATATTTTATACTATAGGAGCTGAGGAAGGTAAAGATGAATAGGATGGGACAAATGTTGGTTAGTTGTTGCCCTGAAGCTACCAAAACTTGTATAACAATAGATCATACATATTTTTTAAATTTATTGCAGCTTTAAACCAGGAATCCACAATATTACTCCAGTTAGTTTGCCCCATGTCAATAAATAAATCTAAAAATATAATGTGAAGATCAGATAAATCTGTATGGATGAGGACCCAGATATGTGCTTTAGAACTAGATTTATTAAGGTTCAGTATATGCAAGATCCTCTGAAAGGGACATTTGAGTAGACTTAAACCTTTAAGGCTATTATCAGCATGGTTCACTGCAGGAAGACAACAGATAATTAAGTAGGGGAAAAAAACGTCAATATTACAGAAGAAGCAATGCCTCAGCTATATCACCACTGGTACTGCACAACTCTCAGACACTGTTTCCTAAAGAACTCAGAATAACAGAAATCCAAAAATAATTACAGCAAAGGGAGGTTGTATTTTCCTAAGACAAAATTACTTGAAAGCCTCTGAAAACAAAAATGACCTCTGGCCTTTCCTGATTTGTGAACTAATTAAGCTTTTTATTTCTATGTATTTCATTCTCTGAATGGTATTAATCTATTGGTACTGGTTAAGACTAGGATATCTACCTGAAGAAATCATATTTCTGGTCCCTAGCTGAAAGAGGTTTAGCTCTTTTAGTCTGCCACTGTAGGTTATTCCCTTAAGCTCCAGAATGTATATGGCTGCTCTGATCTGACTGAATTCCAGAGCAACAATAACTTTTATAGTGTTGTCAAAACATTATAATTAAGGCCTTACTAATACATTGTGCAATTTTTACATAACAACCCTTAATTTATATAACTACAGTATATATCCCAATATTCTGTTTTTGCGTTTTTGTTACTTCACCACATCAACCAGAAGATACAGATGATGAATCAAGATTAAAGTATTTTGCATAACTATTCTAGTTTAGAATTTCCCATTTTGTATTATTTTTTCCACCTGCACTTGTTTACATTAAATGTCATCTCCTAGATGTTTGCCAAATCTTGAATTTTATTGTCTTTATTATATTAATTAATTAATATATTAATTAATTTAATTTGCATCTTCTATTAAGCAATCCTCCTAATTTGGTATTATCTGGGTCTGACCAGTTTACTGTATATTTAGAGGAATCTAGATAATTGCTATAAACTTGAAAGAGCAGTGATCATATTACAGATCACTGTGATACTCCACTAATTACATCACCCCAATTTGAGCATCCACCCCTTAACTCTAATTTTCTTTCTATTCACAAACCAATTCTCAACCTAAACACACATTTCCCTAAATACCTAGAGCCTGTAGTTTGATCCATTAATATTGTATATGTCCATTTCTGCCTGCACATACAAAGACGTCACAAAGAAATTAAGGATTTTCCTTCTATAGTGGAATAGCTGCCGACTCTCTGCCACCTGAATTCAGCCGCTGCATCACAAACAGCTCAAGTCCCCAAGTAATTCTTCAAGGATGAATTTTTAGCAGATGGCTCGCCGAGCAAGGCTGCAACAGCATGATGCGATGCTACAGAGCCTCCATAAAACTGCATTAATTCAGAGCTGACAAGCTGAAATAAAGGTCAGCAGCTTATACCACATTATTCCTAAAAGCTAATTTTACAAGCAAATGCACTGCTTTAATTAGCCTCTGCTTGCAGTTTATACAAATACTACACTAAATTAAGTCCAGTCTTTGTACATCTGAAAACCCCCTCCGGCTCTAACTTAAAAGTTTGCGAAATACAGTGAAATGATGATGATTGCTTTTACTGGCACTATAAAAATACAGTTTATTATAATAAAATGATGTTGAGTGGTATCATAACTATTGAATCTGTTATTCCTGCGTTTGTTTTCAGATAACACATGGAATTTGATAACATATTACAATGTTTAATTATAATAAGACTCAATTACACATTAAAAAGGAAATTTTTATAATTAGATCGTTCCACAGACCTGAATATCTAAATATAAGATAGTAATAGCTTGTGCAGTTTTATATTTTCATCTTTATTTTTGTGCAAAGATTACACTCACAAAAACATGTCCCCCTCTGGCTGTTCTAGCAAGAACCAGCTTAAATTCAAAATAGTCCTGAGGGAGCTCAGCATTCAGTACCGGATGTTCATACTTATACTTAATACACTCCCTGGTCAACATACTAGGAACCCCCACCAAATATTACACTGGAGCTCTGCACACACAGGCTGTGTCACGCCTATTCCTCTGGTTCCGTCAGCTTCAAAGGGCTGAGACTTGGGGGCTGTTCTGGCCAGGGAAGGTGTTCATTTCACTTGGGGTTCCTAATATTGTGGCCAGTCCGTGCACTGAATTACATTTTACATTCCAGCAGCAGTCATATCAAATCAAAGCGGCTTTGCTCCTTAAACAAGTCTCACTTTTTAATCAGCCAGTTTTAAATCTTTCTCAGACTATTAAGTTGGCACCCAAGCTGGATCTGTGATCCAAGTACCGTGCGTCTTTTTGTAACTCGCTGTCAAACACATGGTGTTTGCATTAATTCCATCTCGCCTATTTATAGTTTTAAGCACATTAAGTCATTTTAGAAATCCACAATAAAAACTATTTTCATAAAATTGTTGAAAATAGTTGTTAAATGTTACTTCCACCCCATTACGAAGTAAAACGGTCTAACAGAGTTAAAGACCACTACCTCCGAGCAAGGCTTAGTATTTTAGAACTACAACATTTTATAAAGTACTAGAGGCAACTCAGACTCTTTTTCTGTATCCTCTAGCAATAAATCAAACCATTTCCAATTTTAAATTGAACAGTTTTTATCAGTAAATGGAGTTCTTCCAAGAACTTTCGATTTGAGGTGCGAGTAGTGCACACCACAGCAGAGAAAGTCAATTTCAAACGCCACAGCAGCTCAGACACTTTTTTTTTTAATCTTAGGCTGAACTACGGCACCTTGTCATTCTAGTGATTTTATCAGACTTGAGCTATTCCTCGCTCATTTCCCTTCATTCCCACATTCCTATCAAATAGTACTCTCTGGCGACACCTGCTGGGTGATCAGTATGGCATCCTAGCCCAGGAAAGATGCAGAAGCAAGAACACAGGAAAGAAAAAGATTTAATGACAAAAGTGCTGAATGCACCCTCATTTAGAACTGAAAAAAAACAGGCTTTGGTTTTTCAGCAAAACATTCAAGAAGACTACTAAACCTGTGGAACCAGTTAACCTCCTGAACAGGTCAACCATGAATCGCTGTGCTTTCTCATGAATCCTTGATTGTTCCCAACTCCTGTGTTTCAGTCAGAGTGAAGGCCAGCTGAGAAGACGTCTTCATGAGAATGTCACAACCCCCGAAGAGGTGTAGTACCCAGAGCCATCTGTTGAATATCTCTGGGAGATGTGGGCTGAATTCAGGTCAAATTCCCCAAAGTAATATGTTCCAAACTTCTGAAAAGCAGAAAGCACTTGGATTGAAAGCTAGCAACCAAGAATTACTACTGCATTTTAAAATAACTTACAGTCAGCATTTGTCTTCAGGACCTCTAATTTGCACCCATTGGAGCTACAAATGTCATTCACTTCTCAATAAAACCTAAGATGTTCTGCTAGTAAATACAAATCAATTTTGCTCAAGACAGGACTCAACTTGTCCACAGAAAAAAAGAAACAGAAAATGGTTATTAACAAAGGTCAGAATTCAACCTGTTTGTCTGTGACAAAGGAGGATTGCACAGTGAAGAAAAACTTTGCAGCAGAATGTATGTCATATATTTATTTGAACATATTTCAGAAGCCTAATCAAACCTTCGATCTTTCTATATTTTTTTTAGTTTTGCCATGCTGATCTAGAACATTCACATACCTGAAGTAATTATTTGACAAAGCCCATTAATTACTACTTCAAAAGAAAGTAAGCACCTCTACAAATAACCCAGATATTGGGTCCTTGATTGTTCAGATCTGTCACTCCCTCAGACAGCTCCAGCAGGGCCCAAGAATGGCACGCAGGACATCGTTTCTCACAAAGCACAAAGATGTTACTATGGTTACTGTGTGCTGAGCACTGTCCAGACACTCTCCCGTTTCTCTGATCCTCAGTGCAAGATAGCAGTGGGCTAGCTTTAGTTTTTCAGCAGGCTCACAGCAATGACAACACTTACCTCGAGGTTATTAGCATTATTAATATTGGTAGTGCCAGCACTGAATAAGGAAAAGCACAGCATTACTTCTGTGGCTAGTAATTTCCTGTCACTATAATGTGCAAAGGCACACTCCTGACTTTAAATAAAAAATCGTTAGATTCAGTACAGTGCTACTCTGTTTAAAAAAAATAGGTTTGAAGAGGAAAAGATTTTGTAAATTTGTACAAATATATGGCCAATAAAGCCAGGTGTTTAAAATGCAAACATATTAAAATATGTTAGGTGCCTTACTGCACCTACTCCAAATCTGGTTCTTTTTTGCCTAATGTCAGGCATACTGTCTGATGTATTCTTTGCACAATCCTGTAAAGTAAATTACACTATGCACATTGCACTTTATGTACCCTGTAACCTGTCAGAAATGTCTGTCTACATTGTCTATAGCACTGTCTTGTCAGTGCCTTGTCTGTATTCGCACCATAGACCTGCAGAACAATATCCCGCTCCTTTGTATACTTGTATATGGCTGGAATGACAAATAAACTTGAATTTGAAAATAAAAAGACATTGCCATTGGCTTTGAGTTCTGTATGTCTTTAAAACATACAATGGAATTATTTCTTGCTTTATTTACTCACGGGAACCAAAGCCATATGAGACTGTGAGGTGCTGCAGTTTTTTTTTTTCTTTGGAAGGTCATCTGTAACCCACAATTACTGAGGCACAGACAGTCATGGAAAACCTAAATGCTTCGGGTGCTGCTGGGGACTTGCATGCTGTGGTAATAATTAATAACTGCCACTAGGGGGCAGCCACAAAGCACAAACAATAGCTGAATCTAAAACATCCCAATAACTTGGCAATTGCGCGCTACACAGAGCATCGAGAACAGTATTTGAATGATAATTTCTGACCTTTAAAATGTTTCGTGCATCAAATGACTCCCGATCCCTCATATTCTGCCTTCCTGCAGCAGGACCCCCTTTGTCCTCAGCTACAAGACAAAAACATATTCAGCACACAGGCATCGCTTCCTCCCTCAGCTACGCTGTCGTACACTGTGAACTTACATCGACGTGCAATAAGAAGTTAGAGAAAAAGGAAATATTTTCTTAAAGTACATTTTCTATACTGTACTGCAATTGGGCACAAATAACTCATCTTTCTCCAGAAGGATGGGAGGTTTCTGGTGGTTTGAAAGAGGGAAAACCTTTATTTTCAATTTTTGTGACAGAGAGACGCCCAAAATATGTGTTGTTGACAAACATGAAAAGGGACACGAACAAAGGCGCGATGAAACCAGTGTCCATCCTTGGAAAACAGAGCCCCTGTCAGACCAGGGCTTTGTGATCTGCAGACAGCTTTGTGTGAACTCATGTTGGGGAGCTAAATGCCAGTCCTCTGGGTTGGATGTGATCCATTTCCTACTGAAAGAGCCCATTGTTGTCCCTGTTCAAAACATGCTGCTCTTGCAGTGGCACAGAGGGCTGGCAAGGCAAGCAGGGACTGCACTCTCCAAGATGCCCCCTTCTTGCTGCTGGCCAGAGCGCAATATTTTTATTAGAGTGTCTTGCCGCTCGTCATCAAGGCTGGGATCCCATTCCAGATCAATTCTGAAGCCATCCATGCTGAAGCACCAAAGAGTCTGGGCTGGCAAACGCATATTGATCTCAAGAATCCATATGCCAAACTAAAAAAAAGCCAATTTACTAAGAGGGGCACTGTATAACACTGGGATACTAAAACATGCAGCAGTGCTATCAAGCAGTGTAATCATGCAGAGTGCAAAGTAGTAATAATAATAAAATAATAATAATAATAATAATTGTTTACACTTATATAGTGCTTTTCTGGACACTCCACTCAAAGCGCTTTACAGGTAATGGGGACTCCCCTTCACCACCACCAATGTGCAGCATCCATCTGGATGATGCGACGGCAGCCATAGTGCACCAGAACGCTCACCACACACCAGCTATCAGTGGGGAGGAGAGCAGAGTAATGAAGCCAATTCAGAGATGGGGATTATTAGGAGACCATGATTGATAAGGGCCAATGGGAAATTTGGCCAGGACACCGGGGTTACACCCCTACTCTTTTCGAGAAACACCCTGGGATTTTTAATGACCACAGAGAGTCAGGACCTCGGTTTTACGTCTCATCCGAAGGACGGCGCCTGTTTACAGTATAGTGTCCCCGTCACTATACTGGGGCATTAGGACCCACATGGACCACAGGGTGAGCGCCCCCTGCTGGCCCCACTAACACCTCTTCCAGCAGCAACCTTTGTTTTTCCCAGAAGCTCTCTCATCCAGGTACTGACCAGGTTCACACCTGCTGAGCTTCAGTGGGCTGCCAGTTGTGAGTTGCAGAGTGATATGGCTGCTGGCCACATTGTTTCTATTGGGCAACAAGTCTTTTCCATATTAAAGAAGTGACAGGTTGGCCCACTTTCAGCAGTACAACAGAGCTGTTATGTGTAATTCCTCCACTGAACTCTCAGCTACACATAAGGAAATCTGGTGATCTTTCCTTTGGACAGGTACACCTGAAGTCTTCTAAGTGCACATGGGCAGCTGGATCGTTACCATTTTCTAAACATGAATCTGGCGCCACAATGAAAACCAAAGACACTTCACTCTCAGATGTGCAAGTCTGCAGTCAGCAAAACCCTTACTGACGTGGGCATCAGGTCTTCCATAGCAACCAGATCATAGCAATACCTGGTCCACATGCTTATCAATCACAAGGAATCACTGCAGGGAGATGATATCTTTATCCAACAGAACTATCTCCTGTCTCACAAGAACACTGGGGGAGATAAATGGATCACTGCCATTTCAAAACTCTGTTTAGAAACCACAAAGACAGACAATATACAGTGCCTTCAGAAAGTATTCACCCCCCATTGATTGTTTATCGTTCTGCTGTGTTGCAAAGTCAAATTAAAACATATTTAAATGGGATTTTTTTCCACTCCTGTAGAAGTAATTCTCTATAATGTTAAAATGAAATAAAGCATTTAGATGTCTTCAGAATTATATAACAAATAAAAATATGAAGATTACTTAACTGATATGTATTCACCCCTTTTTTTAACAACCTCAGTTGGGTGAGGTATTCAATTATTTTGAGAGGTATCACACTAAATACATTAACAAGGTACACCTGTGTTCAATAGCTTGATTGCACAATAAATATCATTGACTGTGAGATCAGGCCATCCTACCAAACTGAGCAACCAGACAAGGAAGGCAATTGTCAGAGAAGAGACCAAGAGGCCAGCTACAACACTGACAGGGCTCTTTGGCTGAAATGGGAGAAACTGTCCAGACATCAACAATCTCTTTAGCACTTCACAGATTCGGCCTCTTTGGGAGAGTGGCTAGAAGGAAGCCACTTCTGAGAAAGGCCAACCTTATATCACACCTGGAGTTTGCTAGAAGCCATGTGACAAAACCTGAGACCTTTTGGAAGAAAATGTTGTAGTCTAATGAAAATAAAGCTGAGCTCTTTGGCCTGAAAGCAAAGCGCTATGTTTGGCGCAAACCCAATACAGCCCAACACACAGGTAACACCATCCCTACTGTCAAGCATGGTGGTGGCAGCATCATGCTCTGGGGTTGCTTTTCAGCAGGAGGAGCTGGAAAGCTTGTTGCCATCAAGGGCAACATGGATGAAGCCAAATACAGGCAAATCCCTGAGGAGAACCTGTTTCAGTCAGCCAGAGATCTGCATTTAGGCCGAAGATTCATTTTCCAACAGGACAATGACCCAAAGCAAATGGCAAAAACTATCAAGGAATAGCTTGAAAAAAAGAAGGTTAGTATTCTGGAATGGCCCAGCCAGAGCCCAGACTTGAATCTAATTGAAAATCTCTGGTATGACCTGAAAATTGCTGTCCACTGACACTCTCTATCTAATTTTGTTAGTTGGAGCAAATTTGCATTGAAGAATGGGTAAAAATCCCACAATCTGAATGTGCAAAGCTCATAGAGACATACCCAAGAAGACTCATGGCTGTAATTGCTAAGTATTGTACTATGTACAAAGTATTTACTGGGGGGGGTGAATCCTTTTGTAAACGAGAAATGTAAGTCTTTCATTGTGGAGAAACGAATGTTCTTGAATAAAAAATATTTTTTGGACTCATAAATGTGTTGAATTTATTGTGTTATTTAAGGGAGAGAAAAAAATATTTCAATGTGTTAAAATTTTGGAGGTGTAACGGGAACAAAACGTGGAAAAATTCAAGGGGGTGAATATTTTCTGAAGGCACTGTACATGCAAAAGCCCAAGCGCATCCAGTCTTTATCTGAAAACTAGACCCCAACTCTCGCTTCATTATGAATCCGCCACAGAACCTCACTGAACCTCCTTTGCATGAGACTGTAAACTGAGGCCTTGACTGCCAGTTCATTAAAGCTGCCGCGGTCCTTGTCGTAAGAGTGGGAGATGTTAACCTCATTGACCTGTTCTAAATTCCAGTCTGGGCTAGTACAGTCTGGCCTCCCTTAGGTTCAATTCAATTAGTGAAGCAATTTCTCACTTCTCCGGTTGATCTGCTGACTCAAGGGGTTGCTGGCACAAAAGGCTGCCTTGCATAAACCAGGAGGGTGTTGTATTTCAGAGGCGGAAGAAGTAGGTCTCTTCCTATATGTGAAACACTTTTGGGATAAAACTGATTATTTATACGTGCAATCCATTTATTAATTATTATTATTATTATTATTATTATTATTATTATTATTATTATTATTATTATTATTATTATAGATACACCTGTAGAGCTATCAGGAAATAAAAATACAGTGCCTTTCAGCAGATTTGCTGGTCTACGATGCTGAAATACATTACCAGAGGGGTCCTTTCTGAACAGCGTGTTCATGACAGTGGCATGAAGCTTGACTCTGTCCCATTCTTTAATCATCAGGCCGGATGACACAAAGTGCTCCACCAGCCTGTCTGAAATGGCTTGCAGCCTGCAGGGAAGAGAGATACAGAAAACAGTCACGCTTGCAGGCAGCCAAGACACCACATCATGAATGTAATACACTGCACGAATGGTTCTTCGAGCCCCCCTTCCGAGACTTTTTTTGCTGTGCACAACGATCAGTCTCAGAGCAGCGCTGAAAGGCGTCCTACGAGAAGCGTAACAGTGTGGGAGTGGGCGGAGACGCGCCGAGCACCGCTAAAAAGTCAACGCCCCTAACTGAGGGACAGAAGCACGGGTGTGAGGTTAGCAACAACTGAAAATAACACAGAAGAGGGGTGAAAATGAACCACAGAACAAAAAGAAAGGTGTTCCCCTGTGCCTCGCGACCTCCAGGCTGGGCTTGCCCTATGTAACGGGGTCCAGCCTGGGGACAAAGAAGTACCGCCAGCACAGCGGCGACCCGACTGGACTTCTTCTGCGCAGCGGGGGCCTGTCTGGCGGAGCGGAGCAGGGCGCGTAAGGCACAAACAAAACAAGAACCCAGTGTGTGAAAAAGGTCTGCCTGTCCTGGTGAAGATATGTGACGGGACAGGCAAAAAGAAAGAAAAAAAAGACCAAGAAAAGGCCTGCCTTATGCAGGTACAATCCCCTCCGGCACTGCTGGTGAAAAGGTCCTCCCCTTCCGGGGGGTCTGCCCTACTCGTCCCTATGGGGGGGGGTCCAGTGTGCCTGTACAGAGCCTTCACAGCCGCGGCTCATTCTCTAGTAGCTGGGACAGCCGTGACGACAGGGCTCCGCCTCCACGCTGGGCACGCCCCCGCGGACTGCCACAGAAGGCAAAGACACGGGCTTTGGCAACTGGAAAGACCTACTTGTCAGACCCATCTTTCGGCTGGACTTTGGCGTACAGAACGTCCACCATGGCAGGATCGTCGTTCATGTATTCAATCCCCACCACCTCCAGGGGAAGGGGCTGTCCCCCAGTGACATCCCTGTAAAAGCAGAACAGCAGCCAGTGTGGATACAATCACGTCTCTCGCCGGGTTAACACAAAAAACGAAGCAAGACGGACCGGCGCTTGTCACTTCAGAACAGATCCTGAAACCATACTTCTCCCCTAACCAGAGATGCAGAGTTCTTAAATGTAAAAGGTTTTAATAGCTGTTGCTCCACTATGTAGTTTATTTCCATTTACTAAATTCACACACAGGAACTGCAGTTCTCACAGGCTTGTCAAAACTGCTAGAAGGTGTGCTGGGACACCGTGTACCACAACTAGCCCAGAGGTGTGCCAACCACAGTGCAGTGCAACACAAAGGCACACAGGACAGAACCATTGTCACATTGCTGCAGCTACCAAACATGTTCACACGAGAAGACTGACACCCACTTGATAAAGCCCTGACACTGCTGTGCCAAGTCGCATGCCTTGGTCACTTCCGTGTCACTGAGCAGAGCCAGTGTGCCGATAGTCAGGTGCAGCTTGGCTGGGTTCTGAAAGATGCTGCTGTCCACTCCGCGGTCCTTAAAATAAAACGGGAAGAAATACCTAAATACAAGCTTGACAGCAACCTCCTGCATCTAGCTGACATGCCACCTACATATAAAACAGAAAACCATTTGTCCTCCAAAATCATTCAGAAAAGTTTAGACTTTGTAACGTATGCAACAAGCACTAAGGGAGATTTATTTAATGTATTAAATTAAAACCACAAAACAGTATTATGTACTAACAATGTAATGATTTTCAATTAACACTTTGCGCTTTGCAGCAAAACAGTCCTGACCCCATCAAGTGAGTGAAGAAAGATCACACCTTTTAGAACATTAGAAGAATCTGAGTCCAAGCCTTCGGTTTATCACAAACCTTCTGTTCCACTAATCCAGTTCTCTATTTCTAATCAGCCCCCAGACCCCTTATCTTCTCAGAAATGATCACAGGGGTTAATCTATTTCTTTATTGTATCTCTACCTGGGAACACTGCTCCAGGACCTCCTCTTTAAACTGCAGAAATCGCTCCTGGATGCTGGAGTGGTTCAGAGGGAAGGACAGGAAGTGAGTGAACGGCTGCTTCCTGCGAAAGCTCTCGATCAGAACCTCAATGCGGGTGAAAGCAGAAATCACCGCAGCCCGCTGCTGACCAGTGATCACTGGACAAGGACGGAAGAAACAGCAAGAGGTAAAACTCAATAAGACACAAGTAAAAATCAAGACAACTTCTTCTACAAAAAGCCATTCATGACAAAACAGGCATAGAGAAGCACACTACCTTAATAAATGCAACCCTAATCAAGACATTACAGATTAAGATTCCTTGTGGGACAGGGCTTGGGGTGTAAACCCTATACAGCCTGTACTTTTCATAATAATAATTGCTTACACGTATGTAGCGCTTTGCTGGACACTCCACTCAAAGCGGTTTACAAGTAATGGGGACTCTCCTCCACCACCACCAATGTGCAGCAAAACCTGAATGATGGGACGGTAGGCATAGTGTGCCAGAACGCTCACCACACACCAGCTCTCAGTGGGGAGGAGAGCAGAGTGATGAAGCCAGTTCAGAGATGGGGATTACTAGGAGGCCCTGATTGATAAAGGCCAAAGGGAAATGTGGCCAGGACACCAGGGTTACACCCCTACTCTTTTCGAGAAACGCCCTGGGATTTTTAATGACCACAGAGAGTCAGGACCTCGGTTTTACATCTCATCTGAAGGACGGCGCCTGTTTACAGTATAGTGTCCCCGTCACTATACTGGGGCATTAGGACCCACATGGACCACAGGGTGAGCGCCCCCTACTGGCCCCACTAACACCTCTTCCAGCAGCAGCCTTAGCCTTTTTTTAATGAGTTTCATATGTAGTTACTACATTCATACTGTAATTGATTAAACAGCTGTAACACACACTGCAAGAACAATGGCGCAATCCTCTGTATCTCCAAAGCTATCAGAGCTAGTCAGGATGGCCAGGTCAGCAGTACTGTACAAATGAGCTACAGGCATTACCTTGACACTGTTTCACAAAGAAGAAGACGTGCCTGTAGCCAGGTGCATAGTGCCCATGTCAAACTCACCTATCTGTCCCTCGACCCCCTGTTTCGGAATGGTGATTGAAGTCTGGGTTTCAGACTCCAGCCTCTTCCTGGTCTCTCCTTTTCTTCCTATAATATACCTTTGAAAATCACAGAGGGCAAAAAGGTCATTTTTTTGGTTTCTGGTCTCCTATATTATCACCTTTGGTAAAACACCTGTCAGTTACGTACAGGCATACTCAAATACTCTATATCTCTTAGGGCCTAAGACTCCAATTGATCATCTATTGCAATCTTTGGGCACAGTGGTGGAACACAAATATTACTAAACAGTGCATAGTGCATTCCATCCTTTCAAAGGTCACTTATTTTGTATTTTCTGCAAACCGTCAGCAAATGTAAGAAATTTCTATGCAGAAATCAAGCTCCTTAGTGGACTTCTTGATACAGAAATGTATTTTTTTCCAGAGTACATACAGACGGTACGTCATGAATATTTTCGTTCGGAAAACTCAGAGATCAAACACTGTTAGTAAACGTTACGAATTCTGGAGGATTCCAATCTAATGCACCAACTTGTACAGGACACTGGGAACATCTATGGCACAGCGAAACCCCTTTTCTGTCTGTTCCACGCTGACAGAGTCGCAGGGCTCGTCAGCACAGTCGATCCTGGCTGAAAAGGGAAAGAGACAGCCGAGTCCAGAGGAGGATTGAGAGCACATTTCCAGCAAATCTGCCTTTGGCATACGCAACTATAAAAATTAAAGCATAAACATAAGAAAACGAAAAAGAACAGCGTATTTAATTTATGCAACTATACAGCAGAAAAGAAAACATTTCCAAAGATAATGCTAACTATGAATGCAAAACTCTCACAGATTATAGATCTGATGGTCAATCTGGATTGTACTGTTTTACAAAATGGACCAAGAGAGATAGGCTATAATATACTTATATTCAATAAATAAAATTTGGAATTGTCCCCCTGCAATAAAGATACACAGTATACCTCTGAAAAGCTACAAATGTTGAATATTTTGTTCTCCGTTACAGAAGCTGATACATTGGCTCCTGAGCAGATCAACAGGCAAAGACTCTCACCCAAACACGGGCTGAGCTCGCGGGTTTTAGCTTCTATCATCTGACTTGATGATTTTCAGAAATTGGGATTGTGATTCACGGGACCGTAGTCGCAATTCCCGTAGCTCAACTACATCTCACCGCCCCAGACTCGCTCAGCGACACAGCGACCCCTGCGGTCTCCCGAGCGCATGCAGACGCGCTCGGCTGTCCGCGAGGGACGCGCCTCTCCTCCAATCAGCGCTGAACCTCCGGCGCAAGGCTGCGGTGCCCGTGACGTCATAAAGACCAGCGCGCAGAAATTAGGCGAGACCAGAGGAGTCTGTTCACACTTCGCGGGGAAAAAAAAACTCACCAAATGGCTATTCCAAATCGGGTGGGTATGACAAAAATAACCGACGATTCTAAATGTAGACTTATAAAGTTGCTGATAAGGTGCGAACTTACCCGAGTATGAAATGTCTTCTTCTTCATCACCTTCATAATGAAAAGTCTGTTCCTTGACAACATTTTTTCTGTAAATTCTCCCATTAATGCTAATCAGAGTAGGTCGTAAAACCTCCATCTAAAAAATGGGAATTTAAAATGAGATAAACATAGATATATGAGCATTCCAAATAAATTACTTGTTTTCATTTATAAACCACTATGAAATTATTAGTTTAACATCGGTTGGTACCACTATACAGTGTTCTATAAAGTGGAGGATTTACCAAAAAAATAACTTTTAGATACTGAAAGTAATAGAACCATAACGCTAACTATGAAACCTTTTGAAAGCGAAATTATTAAATTAAAACACGAGTTATGCTACGTGTAATGATTACGAAAATAAAAAAACAACGTCTTGGTTGTGGAACTTTATTCCGATGTGGCAAAAAGCAATTTAAAAAATCCTTATTCTTACAATTACTAAGTTTGCTTATTGTTCTTAATAAATGCCACACAGTGCCATCATTTGAAATGGCAACACAGTCTTAGATATCGTAAGCCGGATAACGTGCACGAAACAAACATAATTCCGAAACAGGAGCCTTTTTGATTTAAAAGACTGCACTGACCCGTATCGGTCAGGCCCTGTGTTGAGAGACGTGACTTAATTTGTCAAACTTTTATCACTTTCCAAGACACACAAAACTCTCAAAAGTACTAAATCACGGAAGACGGGTAGAAAATGTCATATCAGCCCAAACACACACGCACAAAAACAACGATTTACCACTAGAAAAACATACAAATCGAATATTTCAAATTGGAGGAATTTTAACAATTGAAGCCACCAAGCATCGAATTCTCGAACAATTCTCGAGTCTTTAGAATTCTAGAACACCGGCATATTCCAACCTGGATCATCTGGAACTGCGGCGCCAGGAGGCAATTCTGCCCCCCCGAGGTGCAGTACACTTAACTAGAATATTAGCGATATATCTCGGTAGGCTATAGAAAATAAATATTAGGTTATTACCAACAAGATTATCCCCTTTTCGGGGTTTTGAAATTATTTGGTATGGAAGTACCTTGACTACAATTCTCGCGACGTTTGCGATTAAACCGCTTCAACTCAAACATGAGGGGGGTACAGCACACAACAACGTCCCGCACGGAAACGGTCACCTCAACTTTGCGTTCCTATCACGAAACCACTTCATTCTCGTCTTTTTTTATTTTATTTTTTTTATTAAACATATAAAGAATTTACAAATACAACTACAACCAGAGGATCAAAAACACGTACATGAGAAAAAAACACAAAGAGAAAAAACATTTTACCGCCAGAGGTAATGAGGTAAATTATGTGATCAAATTGTATTTTTTACATATATCATACGTTTTCCTTGCTTTATTTCTCATTTTTTTTATAGAATTTAAATAGTGTTTCAGCTCCACCTCAAAAGTACTAAAAAGGGGAGTATTATTAGACCATTTTGATTTATGGATGTGAACTTCATTCTCATCTTGTCTCGGCCTCCTGCAATCACAGTGTCGTACAGTATACAGTGAATGAATTGACATCTTTGATTTGCTAGCTTGAGGGCAGCAAAACTAAACACAAAATAGTTCCAGACTGGACAGATAAATCTAGATAGGAAGCTTGATTCACGAAACCTGATCACGATCAGTATTGTATTTCAGTTTATTCTGATTTATGTTAATTACAAACGTATTCACGAAGTCTTTAATTTTTGGTAATAAAGAAAAAGGTTTTTATTCAGCATGCCTACAGTTCAAGCATGTTTTGTTCATTACAAATACATTATTTGTCAATGTGTTTTTTTTTAAATGCAGGAAAATGTGATATGATCCTGGAATAGAAAAAAAAAGTATTCAAATTGAAACATGACTCATAATAATAACTTAAATTTGTGGTTTTATTTACGCAGTGAAAGTAACTTCCTGCTTATGACTCTAGACACGCCGAAACGCTCATTTGACCACGTCAGAACATTGAGCCCAAGAATAAATTATACTTATTTTTCACAACAAACCATTAAAACCCACATAACTAGCAGTCAGTTTTAATCATATCGCTTATATTATGCACGTACTAATTAACCTGAACTATAATTTTAACTACTACAAACATAACTGCTTTGCTAATGATGAAGGAAAGTCAAAGAAAAATACCCCGACCAGGCAGCGAGAGAAACCAGTATCAAACGGCACGCTGTCGTAAAGACCCTGTACCGTAAAGCAGTTTGAATACTGCTCTAGACTTGGTGTGTGAATATCCGTTTAAAAAGAGTAAAGGTAAATAATGTCATTTTTCAATTTCAAGAAATTTCTTTTAGGGGGGGATTAAAACGTATATAGTTTTTTTTCTAAAACGTGACGATTTGTTCTCCAACGTTCTTACTGTATCCGGTAAAAACCTAAAGCGTGTTTTCTATACAAAATTTGAATTTACGAATAGAGGGGCTATGTGAGATTAGTGTAGGTATGCACCTTTGAACCATGAAACGTATATTTACTTAGAGCGTGTCCTTCTGAAACCTGTCAGTTGTGCAATAAACAGAAACATGACAGTCGTTTTCCGATGTAGGTCTATGTGATTTGAGGGTCTCTAGATCTAAAAAAGGTGACTCAGGAACGGAAAGACGGTTTACTCCTCTTACAGTTTGATCTCGGACGAATTGAAAGAAGCTCTTATGTCCGGATACCTGGCGATGTGTTCTTATATTCCTGACGTAAAACCTTGTGAAGATTGTGAAAGGGAGATGTGTATAAAAAAATCTCGTTATGTAGCCGAGATCCTAAACACGAAAACTGCGAAATCTTCAGGGCGGTAACATTTAGGCAGGACATTTAAGTGTCTGTGTGTTGGTATTGACGGATGTAATTATTATTTCGAAAGAGGACGTTGAGGTAAATGAACTTGATGACTTTGTTCGGTGGCAGTGATGCTTGGAGATCACTACAGTTTGACCACAAAGGCCCATCAAAACAGCTTGGTTGGCGCCTGCTCGGCACGCAGAACACGTCACAGCCGAACTGCACACCGTGTGTCAGTGCCAGCTAGTGAGTGTGGAGGCGATAAGGATCAGATATCTGCTCACTGTCACGTCTCGTATTGAAGTTTTCAGCTCACGCTAAATTTCGTTGCATGTAGCCTATACGTTGAAGTACAATCTTCAGTTCTAAAGATTTGATTAGCCTGGGATTTTTTTGCGTGTCTTGGAAGCTTTTCAAAACCTTTAATTGTTCTAGGATGATAATCTTACACTTACACCGACGTTGTGCCTAAAAGCCTGTGCTTTTTCTCACCTTAATTAATTATAATGAAATATCTTAACGGAACAGTAATTATTCAGACGACACCGCATTTTCTTTTTCATTTAAAATTTTCTAATTCAAATGGTTTCGGATGCTGATTTTGAAATGGTGGGGAGTGAGTTTTCCTGAATGATTTCATGTTTCATATCCCCGTTTATTCAAATTCTCAATCCTAAAAATGAATAACGTGCTGTATGTTTTGTGTGAACACAGTCCGTACAAATCTTTTAAAGAATAACCTCTTATCAGTTTTCTTGTGATAACATGCCATTCCCTCCTCTTCAGTGCTTCTGAATTTGTCATAGATGTTGCTAGAAATTTCCAGTTCAGTAAGTTCGCTGTTGTTCACATCACACTCATCAGCCAGCATATAATTAAAGCTGTCTTTAAATGAGCTCAAATAAGAGTGTATAAGAAAGGTAAAGTGAGGAGGCCATTCTTTATGATCATATAAACCTTTCATTCAGATTAAACCTTCAAGCCCTCTGTGCCCTTTGGTTTGTGTTTCACTGTTCCTTCTGGGTTGGCTTTATCGATGCCTTTGAGGATTTTGAATGCTTACTACAAGCGAAGCTTCCTTTGACATCGCTGTCCAGAAAGATGAGCCTGGTAATTTTAAGAACAGAATTGCCCCTTTTTAAAGTGAGTTTTCTGCTGCAACCTAACCTTCTGCAGTGAACCTCGCCTGCGCAGTCGAAATGCTGTCGCCATCTTTGATATTTATGCTTCTGTTTGAAACCTTTTTTGTCACAGGAACCCATGTAATTAATTTGTAATAAACTGTCCAAGTTTCTAATGGTTACTTTACAATCCTTCACCATCTGTGGAGGATAAAAGAAAACTTTAGTCAAATAATTGGCATTTATACTTGTCGACAACGTTTTGACTAACCCCGTAGCTAATGCATATTCTGCAGAAGGTTTACAGCTTCACAGGCCAGTAACACCCAGGTGCTTTACATGTCAGTCCTCAAGCTGTGTTGCTCTGAGGCTGTAGTTTTGGTGTTCTTTAACAAAGACCTGCCATTTCCTCTTGTTGGACTGTGGGTCGTGCAGGTGTGGAGGAAGAGAATGGCGGCCTCCTCTTCCTCGTCCTCTGCGGGGGGTGTCAGCGCAAGCTCCGTCACCGGCTCGGGGTTCAGCGCCTCCGAGCTGATCCCGCCCCGAAAGGTCCTCTACACCTACCCCAAAGGTGCCGGGGAAATGATGGAAGGTCAGTACGGCTCTCGAAAAACCAACACGCCACTGTGAGGGATATGACCAGTGAAGACATGTTCTGAATAGTATTAAAAATCCCGTAAATGGCAGCTACTTGTACACCATTAACCCCACGCTTTTTTCTTGAAAGCTGAGTGAAAAAAATATAAGAACAGTGATTTAAATAAAAGGATTAAAATAATTTGCATTCATTTTAAAGCAGTCTTATTTAGGTTTCATGTTGGTTTTGCAAAATGGGGGTTTTGTTAATGCAATGAAAATGGAAGAGGTCGGAGCCGGCTACAGCTACTGCTGTGTGGTACCTTTTATTCTTTTATCTCAAACGGTGCAGTCATTTGAGGACTTCATTGGAATGATAATCTGATGACAGAAAAGTAAATATATTCCACTTGAAAGTCATAATACCTTCTGCAGCCTCACTCAGTTTTGATTTCCTGTATTGTCCGTTTATGGTGGATGACACAGGGCGTTTCAGAATGGCAGGACACAACAGGGGACAGTGATCAAACAACTGCCAGGAAAGATGTAGAATCTGTAGGAAGTTAGATTGTAATTGATTAATGCAAGTAGCAGTGACCGCAGATGTGTGTAATGGAGGAAACAAAATGTACCTCATTGATTATGGAAAATTCAGCAACTTTAGGTAAATCCCAAAAAGACAGAAACATCTGACCATTAAGTTTCAGAACGTCACTCCTGCAACAGAAGTTTGTGATGTAGGTAGGGAAATTCTTGATAGTGCCTACAGTTCACATTTATCTCATAAACAAGACTGTGTAGCATGTGCAAGGCATTTACGTCAGCTTAATGGTTTCTTCTATTTGAGTCATACATTATGTTCACCCTCTGGTTGTTGATTGGAAAGCATCATAGCGCTGAGCAAATGTTGCCTCCAAAGTTTTGGTCTTAATAGAATGCAGTGCATTTTCTTTTTTTTATTTTGAATTGGATAGGCTTGTAGAGCTAATAACCATGTAGAATATGTCTCGCGAATCTGGTGTTCCTTGCTAGTTTTTGGAACATGTTTCAAAGGTCTTAAACACTTGTCAGGTTAATAGGTTCTGTAAAAGTCATTGTAGATTTTGAATACAAGTGCTTGTGCTTTTTTTTAGATGGCTCTGACCGATTTCTGTGCGAGTCAGTATTCAGCTATCAAGTTGCATCAACTCTGAAGCAGGTGAAGCATGGTAAGGCAATTGTAATGCTGAATGTTAGCACTGGATTTTAGAGAAATAGCTGTAAATGCATGGTATTTATTTTACTATTGTAAAGAGCCCTCTGATGTGCAAATAGCACTTTATAAGTGCAAGTTTTATTGTGTTTCTGATAAAGCTAAATTCCTTAGTGTTTGTAGTGTGTTCCCTCATTTAAAACTAATCTGAATAATTGTTTTTCTGACAGCAGTGAGAAAACGGTGAGCAATTGTGTAAAAGATATCTTAGTAAGGCTCTGTAGGAATCGAATTATAAATTGCAAATGTAGAAATCCATCTTTGTACATGAAGGAAATGCCTGCAGATATCTGAGGGTTCTCTTGCTTGAATACAAAGTTATCTATATGCAAAACAGAACTGTCTCTGCTGTTCCATATCAAAGACAAACAACCTGAGAGATTAGTCTCTTAAAGAAGTAACTTCATTTGTAATACCTCTTTCATTTATATATTTATCTGTAGTGAATTGACTTTATTTAATTAATAAACAAGTTTACCAGTTGTTGACCCATTCTTAGGGGAACTCTTACGCATGTACCTTGGTTTACATGAAATAATGTATTTTCTAAACTTCATTATTTTGGCTTTAAATTTTGAAGTTTTTCTTTCATAAACATCATGCCCCATGTTTTGTTTTAAAGCATCAGAGACCCCTGCCATCGTTTGGGGGGAATTACATGTACCAAGTATCATTCTTTTTGTGCATGAATATTTTTGGAACTGTAGCAGTGCATGGATTTCAAAAGTTTTTAGCATCATTTTGATTAATAATTCATGACTAAGCGTGATACACCTAGTTATGATTTTTGGAAAATGGACCGTAAATGAAAGATAACCACAAAAAAAGAATCAATATGCCCCACTTATCACGTGAACAACATCTTTCTGCCATTAGTATATTGGAGGCAAAGGTTTGCCAGGCTCTCTATGATAGGAGGTTGAAATATGATAGTGTACTGTAGGCAGGAGTGTGTCATCACTACAGAACTCTGTGTGTAATGGTTGATGATATTACATTGATTGAGTCCCAGCACGTCACTTACTGCCCTTCCTGTGGGCTCATCCTGACATGACAGCACGTGTTCTCAGGCTGCTTGTCACAAGGACTTCCACACAAGATGAGAATGTGGCCGCTGTGCTTTGGATGTATTACTTGCCTGATGTTAATATTTTCGGGATGAGGTGGGACTGTGTGTGATGACCAGTGCAGGAACATTCTTGTCCAGGCTCTCGGAGAGGAATGGTGTGAAATCTCCTGAAAAAAGCACCTGAAACCTGGCACAAAGCATGAGTCACAGACGTATGGCTTGTATTGCTTCCAGGGGTGGCCACACACACTGCTAGTCTGACTTTCAAGATACACTCTCTTCTGTCCAAACCAGTTGATGACAAAATGCTAAACAGCATGATGACCCATGTTGGTTCAAGGAAATACCAGCAGACCTGAAGCAAAATATTTTTTCCCTGACAACTGCAACAAATCCACAAAGTTACAATATGTTTTTTAAATGTAATTTTATAAATATCATCATAAATCACATCTGCTAAGACACTATGCTGGCTGTAGCCTTTTATTTACAGAGACTGATGAGTTTGCAGATAAAGCTTTTTTGTGTCTCTTAAGATCAACAGGTGTCCCGCATGGAGAAGCTGTCCAGCCTTGTAGAAGACCTTGAAGCAGATGAGTGGCGGTACAAACCAATTGAACAGCTTTTGGGTTTTACACCCTCCTAAGAACACAGTTAAACAGGAATTTGAAAGGAAGCGTTCTCTGAATCAAAGACTGTTGAATAATCTGGTGAGCATTTGGAAATCTAGCTACCAGATTGGGGGGGAAAAATGATTGTAGTGTTTCGTCTGAGTGTTTTATGTTTGTTTTTTTTTTTAAACTAAAGATGACATCCCCTACAAAAAAAAAAATCAGATTTCATTTCGGTTGATATACAAACCAAAAAGTAGTATGATACCCTTTTTATAGAATGTTATCTGTCCATTTCAACCTGTATTTAAAAAATAAAAACTTTTCTGTGATTTAACTTCTAGAGATTTGGAACCTATTCTGGTCATTTTATTAATTTCCCTTTGTTTTAAATATACCCTCCTTAACAATAAGTGGTTATAAACTCAATATCTATCCAACAGATGTGTTATGTATTAGAATAAATAGCTAAACAAAGTTAATCACTGTGGGGAAAGCTTTGTTTTAATAGCAAGCTCTTCTATTAGCTGGTGTTAGGTCCACATCTTTGTAACAATTTCCCTGTGATCCCAAATTAGTTTTTGGCCCTGCAATAACTTCATTTCAGTAGAATCCTTGGTGTATGTTGGGATGTTCTTGATGGCACTGAGAAGGCGTGGAACAATACATTTTAAATATTTCATCTGCTGTTAAAGAATTGAATCCTTGCGTGGGAAAAGAGAATATGGTCATTGAAACCTGAAGTAATGTTCTGCTGTTTGCAAACCTGTAAAATAAAATGTTTAAAATCACTAGAACGGATTTAGAAATAGAAGTCTCTTAAAATCTAATTAATACATTTCCCAACAGATGTCTTGGAAGGTAATATTGGTTTCTTGAGTGTTATTCGTTGTCAATTGATCAGCTCAAGGGTAGCTGATTTTAACTTTTACTGAATGTTTTTTAACTGTTTGTTACATTAATAAAACCTTGCATGTGGTTATGTTTTCTGTGTCACTGATTTTCTTAAAATTAGTTGCTTATGACCCAAAGGTGTAGCATCTCTAGTGATCAAGTATTGGTTTAGTTCCCACACTACAAAAAAAAGCATTATTTGAGTGTGGAGCCCAGGAAGGCTTTCCATGTTGTTTCTTCTTTCTACTTTTCAGCATTGAATTAACCTCCACTTCTTTTTGTATCTTGCAGGCTGATACAGATCCCTGCTCTTACCTCTTCACCAGTGGTTTATCTACAGTGCAAACACTGTAATGTGGTTTTGGGGTGACCTCCTTTGTGGCAGAGCCATAAAAAGAGGCTAGAAAGGATCCTTGACCTTTTATAGCCTTCTTGTTTCAACATAGGTTTCTTACAACAGGAACACAAAAATGAATAATTTCTACATCAGTCTATAACAATCCAAGAACATGTAGAAGAATGAGACTTTTCCTGCATTTATGTTTTGAACAAAGCGTAAAAATTTTAAAATTTCTAGCTTGACCCTTAACTGATTCACTGCAAAAAAGAAACTAATTTTGATAGAACTATCCAATTTGAAAAAGGCCACTTGTGTAATTCTTTTAAAACATAATTAAATTACATAACCATAATTTAAATTTTGTTACTATTCACCCCAGACCACTGTTACATTTGTGGTTAAACATGTGTTCTCTTTTGGTTAATGCTTTTATCCCAAGCAATGGACATTGGAGACATTAGACACTGCCTGGTGTTTTTGTAACATGCAAAAAGAATCAAGCACATTCGTATAGCAGAGTATAGCTGCAGTGTCCTGAGCTTAGATCTAATCACTACTTCACACCAACACAAATGCATGTAGCAATATAGCATGTAGCAATATCCCGTCACCCAGAAGCTTTACATTTTATACACGCTTGAAGGTGTAATCTGAATGAAAGGTTTGTATGATCAGAACGTGGCTGATGAATGTGTGCACACTTTATTTTCTAATTTCCGGGTTTAAATCAAAGATCATCCATTACTGTTGCACTCAAGGTCACAAATTCCCCAAATCCTCCCATCTCCTAATAGACTCAAAGATGTACCTGAATTTGCAAAGCTAATTTCACACTCATCCACAGTACGCTTGAAGAGCAGGGTGAAATTTTGCCGAATTCATCTTGAGATACTTGGGTGTATTGTGAGATGCAAGCAGTAGTTGAGCTCCTACCATCAGGCTGCCAATTTAGACTAGATTTAAGAGCAAAAACTAGGTAATCTTGTATTCCCATGGCCATTAGCCTGCTCAGTGTAGTTTAAATGACTTATATTTTCAACATGTGTTTATTTACTGTTTGTATCTGATTCACTCACTTATGACCCAACTATGACATCTACAGTACATTTGCATGGTGAGAATGATGAAAATCTGACTTTAGTTTTACACATGTATGTTTTTTTGTCTCGTTTTTCTAAAAGATTAATGTCGTGTTAAATGTACTGTGAATTGTTACTGTACAGTTTGTCTTTTACCTGCCTGCAAAGTAAATTTCCCAGGTGGGACCGTAAAAGAAGTATAATTGTTGTTATTCCTTAATAGCAATAGTCCTTTATTTAACCAGCAGAGAACTCATTTACAATCTGGACGAGAGGTTAACACATCTGCGGTACAGAAGAACAAACAGGAAAAATGTAAATAACATAACAGGCCAGGGCAGTGTCAACAAGTGCGAGTGCTGAACGGAAACGATTTATACAACAGAAAGGAAGACGGACAGTTTCAGCTCTCTCTGGAGGCTGTTCAGTCACTGGCAGTGGCTTAATTAAAAGGACTTGCATCCAGACTCTGTAGTTCCTTTTGAGAGATCAGAAAACATCAGAGATGGTACAAATGAGAAGATTATTCAGCCCCTTTCGGCGTTTCGAGAGGTTCAAGTTGATAAGTTTATTTTTATGTTTACGTTTTAAACTGTAGATGATACAGAAAGCTGTGATGAATTATTAAGATGGGATTCCATGGCAGCAGTGGGAGTAACCAGACTGATCTTGAAAATAACTTGCAAAGTTACTTCACAGTATGACACACCAACTCATACTCAGGGGCTGATAAAAAGTGCTTGGTGTTTAAAGACAGAGTGAACTGCTGGTTTGGTTTCCCATTGTGCACAATTTCTGCCTGTCCTTTAAAACAAAAACAATGAATAAAAACTACAGCAATGAAAAAAGAAAATGTGTCCTGCTTTAAGCAAATTTAAAGAATTATGCCAGATTTGACAACGTGTCCTTTGAACAATGTGAGGTTTAAGTTGCAGTTCAGTTTTCTTTGTTGTGCAGATTCCTGATGGTGTGGCGGGCCCTCTTGTGCACAAATGAAAAGCCCAGGCTGAATGATTGCTTTTGCAGAAATAACACACTGTGGTTCCCCATGGCTGCACCATCTCTCGCTGATTTTCATACTGCTGAGTCCTGCTCCTCCCCCAGTAGGTCTCCACAGCTGCTGCTCACCAGCAGCAACAAGGGTCTGAAACAAGAGAAGGGACATGAAGGAGGCCAGCACATAACACACACAAAAAGAAAGTCATTTTCAGTCCGTGTCCAATTTTCAGATCCTTTGCTTTTATTCTAGATGCTGTTTAAAGATGCTGATTAAATACTGTTTAAAATGTGGTAACAAGTTTATTTGATCATGTTAGCTGCTTTCAGGTTTGTTGCACATTTTTATTTTCGCCCATATTTGGGAAATACATCTAACACGCCAATCTTAAAGCATGCCCCAGGGTGTCCAGTTTGTAGGAATTTGATTCACATTTTACAGCGGAGTTTCCATCTTCAGAATGTCCATACTGTCTTTTCTCAGAAAGTTGCTTGCATAAACATACCGGGATCAGATCGAAAATAAAGGTATACGTTAAATCAGGGCTTATAAATTCTTCTTTGGATTTTGAACAATACAACTTTTGGACTTAGTGGGTTCTCTGTCATTACAGCAAAGAAGCTGAACTTGGCTAAAAGTTTATGCACTCATACATTCTGGAGTCAGTTTCCTTTATTTACATGGATGGAGAGTATGGCTCCACACCCTGCAGCTTTGTAATATATACTCTGTAATGACAAAGAGCCAAGGGGCCAGCAAAACTGAACAGAATGTACTGTTCCATTTGGTCTCTGAGATGTCTGTTAGCCATTCCCTAAAAGGCCAGCCCAGAGCTGCACTGGGGTGCTCCTGGGTCCTAAACCCGCAGAAAGTCCTAAAAATGCTTTATGTGGTTAGTTAAATGTGTACACATTACTGGGTAATTAATGAGATTGTCTTGATTAATTAATGCCTTGTTTTTCCTCCAAAGGAAAAACAAAAAGTAATTTACACAGAATGACCCAGATCAGTGAAAATCCTGAACAGTAAATTGCTGTACTTTAAGTGGTTTACAATTGAATTCTTAATAATGCAATTATTATTACATATGAAATACACTTGGAATCATTTTATATCATGCTATACTGACACAGGCTGCATGAAAGTGTGTTTTTGTTTTTGGGTTTCCTCTTACTGCAGTACAGGACAGCACAGACTGTACTGCAGACTGAAACGTCACATGCCACAACATCTGTGGCTAATGGCAGGCTTCCAAATACTTCTAGCTCCTCATGCTCAGATGTAACGTAGATAATATGAAACAGCCCATCTTGAAAATAGCAACATTTATAGGACATGAAAAGGTATGGAGATTTTCCAAAAGGCATTTTACTGCTTGAGAATCGAACGTCAAAACCCCTTACCTCTGCAGTGCTGTCTGAAAAAAAATAACAGTTGATTTCCAGGAGGGAAATGTTATGCTTCCCATCTCCTTAGTTAGGAACTAACAATGTGCTTCCCTACATCTATACATTGTCTAACCGCTTCCAACAATGGGCTTGTTAAGAAAAAAATACAATAAGAAGAAATGCCTTTGAATACCACAATAGCCAACAGGAGAAAACACCCTCTCCTAATTGTCCAAGTGAGTGAAACAAACCTAGAATACATTACTATTACTGTTGTTACAATAATCATTTTAATTAATCAATGCTCCTCACAATTTGGGCCTTGTCCTTCATGTTATCTTTTATTTTGATATGCTGTATTTCTCTGTGTGTGGAAGGTAAACTCGAACAGCCTAACTAAAACATATTGTTACACTTCGACAACTGCGCATGGCCTGTAGTGTCCTGAAAGCCACTTACAGCAACTTTTCCAACGAGGCAATGTCTCTTTGGTACAAACAGTAGCAAACAGGTGAGGCCACAGAGCTTTTTGTGAGCCACCCCACGAACACAAACTCTCTAATGCCCCCCATTAACCACCTGAAGTGTACTTTTTCAAGTATTGATGAGATCAAACATTTTACAAGACTTCCCCATGGAGCATACATGAACATAATTCGTTCCTGGGAGAAAACTACGCCACTAACTTCTTTTCCCGCGACGCTACTAGAAATCAGAAGAGAAGCAGGCTGCATACTTGTTACGCTTCGGTTTGTATTTTAAAATAAACACCACACCTTTTAGTGTGAGGGCAAATGGCAGACGTCATTCCAGTACCAACTGTTCCCCTTTCACACAGGATGAATCAAAACTACATCATAATTCAGGAATAAATGCCGGAGCTCCTCGGCAAGATCAGGAGTTATTTCTTTTAGGACAATCTTACCCTAAACAGTATTTTTTTTAGACTTGTAAGCAGTTGGTCAGAACATAACATCAACAGAAGTGGTTACTGATATTTATTTACCCTTGCTCCTGACATCCCTAGCAAAAAAAGGGGCACAATTTTGTACACGGAATGCAGACTGGTGCTATCTGCTTCACTTTGTCAATAATGATAGAACACCGAGAGCTGTAAAACTCTTCCCCGATAGCGTAAAAAACGTCAAGAACTATGAACAGAACGTTCTCGGGTGTTTCAACAGTAAGGTAACTTGTTTGTATGCCAAAAGAAAAGGGTAAAATAAATCATGAAGAATATAAGCACCTTCAATTTGCACAGGAAGGTGAACATAATCATGTTCAACCCTCACTGCATTCAAAAAACAGAGACTGAGATAAAGTATAGATTTTAAAATATATAAGGTGTAATACAAATGTATTGTTCCCAATATTGCGTAAAAGGTGAAGCCTTTCCAAAATACAGAGATTTTTTGTAACATTGTAGCCTATTAAAATGCTGTGGTGTCTGGTGTGACTGCTAGCAAATCTTCTTTCCGCGATACGTTACCTAAACAGAAAGCTGATGAACTGATCACAGTGTATTTATGTCTAATTTAAGCAGAGGGTCGTTTTTCGTCATTAAACACAACACTGTGCTTCTCTTAGTGTCTCGAGAGCTTTAATTCTGAGATTTTAAACATGTATGTGAGACGCAAAACCCGAAAACTGTACGATTTACCTTAACCTTCCGAGAGGCTTCTGAAAGTTTCACTCTGAAACTGAACTTCTGAAATCGCCTGCTAACGTAATTCCGTTGCCTGTTACCTTTTTAAAACAAGTGTGCGGTAGGAATTTATCTGCGGGGTTTTAAATGAAAATCATTCATTCAGATAAAACGAGCGAGAAGACAATGATCAATCCTGAAATGGTGGGCAGTAGGACCAGCCGCAGTCTTCTTTAGTCGGAGCAAGCTAAGGCTCTGTTTCACGCCGTGTCAGCTCTCGCTATCAAGGAGAAACCCTAACCCACTAATGTGATTGATCGCATTTATCGACCGGTTCTAGATTAACAATATTCTCAAGTACAAGACAATCTCAAGAAGAAACGGCTAAATGCATTAACGGTGTTGCTGTCTGTCCCATACTGCGTTCAGGTTTATACCAAGTAGTGTGTTTACTGCAGTTACTTCGTGTCTAACAACAGAAATCATTATAAACTTATCTGCAAACTTGCAGCTTCAACACACTCGCTTGATGTAATATCCAAGTTTTCCTATAAATTGAAATGTTGATAGACGAAGAGCAGAGTTTAACATTTTTAAACCGAATGTGCATGAGCTTTTAGATCGATACGTTCAAGCAAATATCGAACACATTCGAAAAACCACGTTACGAGAAATGTTGAAGGTAAAAATCCTTTTCATCTTTTCATTTTGGATAAAACGGTTGGATTAATTTTTACGCATTACAATACTTAACTATACGTAGGTTTCTATGGTTTGCATCAGAGTGCATTATTTGTTCCACTAATTATAAATATTAGAAAACCGGTAACAAACGTCGTCGTGCAGATAACATATAGGTAGTGCTTAGTATGCAACATCGTGTCATTCTTTAATGGGGAAAAATCTTAAAAGTGCTCATTCACATTGCTGGACTGGAGGATATAGACACCGCTGAACGTGTTTACAACCGAGAGTTATAGTACATGCAATTACAAACACTCGGTATACTCTCTTTATTAGCCGTCTCGCTTTAAGGGTTCGGAAACAGTAACACATAACTGCATGAAAGCCCGTTCGCTGCTCACAAAACAAAACCCCGGTTCACTACCATCCCAGTACGCACTCCCTCAAACCTACGTGCAAACTGGGGTAGACTCGCGCTGTTCTTACAGCAGCAACCGGGGAGCTGGGGGTCGCAGCCACCCCCCATTTCCACAGGCGAGAGAAATGTTACCAGGCAGGACAGAACGTTGGAAACGTGCGCTGGAGGCTGATTGGCTGAAAAGTCAGCGCACGAGGGGGGGGGGGGCTCGGAGACGGACGGCCGTGTCGTATTTAAGCGGCCCTGCGCCCGTAGTCTGCGCAGTACCAGCTGTGGTACGCGACGCCAGCACTTATACGTTATGCTTGGGCATTAGGAATTCAGCCGGATAGGAATACCCGCAACCCAGTTTCAACGTTGTAAGTATTGTATTACATCGTTTTGTTTGCACTTCTGTTTCTTCACTTTAATTCCATGCGTTATGCTTATGTTTTCGAGTCCAATTTGCATGGTACAAACAATGACCATATGTTTTCGCTTGATTAGCATAGCTCAAGCTGTTGGATGCATCGATGATTTTGCGTACCCATGCAATACGTTAAAATGTTCATTTTGTATGTAGCTGTGGATTAATAATTGTTTCTCTCTTGGTGTTTTATATAGCTGTATCGAGAAGCCGAAAGATCTCGGAACTGGAGACTTGGATTTTTTTTTTTTGCTTCGAACAAGTCATGCCTGCATTTAGCGCACCTCTGAGCCCGTACGAAAGTTTTCCTCCTTCACCAACGGCAGACAGCAGCTCGAAGAGACTATCGTGGGGGAAACTAATGCAGAAACTTACGGATTTCAGCGGCTCGAGCCTCGGTCACAGCTTCGACTCGGACGCCGAAACCAGCAGGAGTGATTTTTCAGATTCTGGTGAGATTCTCGTCTTTTCCGAGTTGCAAACGTTTCTGTCGCGCTTACCTGCACTTCTCTTGCGTTGAGATTTAGAAATCCTTCTCTAATTTATTGAAGCGTCTCAGTTGCTTTAACATTGTTCAGTTAGGCAAACTCTGGCCTGTGATCTCCCTAAACATCTACAGACCGAAAGGGAACATTAGGTGGCTGGATATTCTTTTTTTCCTTCTGTCGCTTTTTAACCGATTAGGCCCAAATAAGTTACCCTTATTAATGGTACTGGGCAACCAAAGCCATCGAAAACCCGCCAGCACATTACCGCCGGTCCAGATTCCATCCTGACTCTTGTTTTCTCTTGTTTTCCTTTCTCCCCTCTCTAGGATCCGTAGAGCTAGACCAGACCTCGGCGTCGGGGTCGGACCTGTTCTTCGACCCCGCGGAGGAGGCGCTGTGCTCGGAGGTGGTGGGGCTGATCGAGCGCAGCCTGACGGAGGCCAAGGGCGGCGCCCTGAGATGCTCCCGGCTGCTCATCCCGGGCCAGCTCCTGGAGCACGTGGGGCAGGAGCTGCTGCACCTGGCCGCCAGCGAGCCCTGCGGCTTGAGGGGGGCGCAGGTCGACCTGTACGTGGAGCACGGCGACGCCTGCCAGAGCATCGAGCAGATCGCCGTGGACCCCTGCCTCGTGCCCACTTTCCAGCTGACGCTGGTGCTCCGGCTGGAGTCCGGGGGGATCTGGCCGAGGATCCAGGATCTCTTCGCCGCCCGGTCTCCGGCGGCGCCTCCTCTCAAACACGCCTTGAAGCTCGGCACCGGCTTCCGGGTGATCAAGAAGAAACTGTACAGCTCGGAGGAGCTTCTCATTGAGGAGTGCTGAGGAGGGGGGAATGTGGTCGGTAGATCAGGCCTTGCCGCTTGTTGGACTCCGCTCCTCCTCGTGCCTCTGGAGGTGGGAGAACCAAGCAGACCCACCGCAAAGCCGGCTGTCCCTGGCCTTTTGTGTCTGCGTGGATGGGAACGCAGGGTCCATGGAACAGCTGTTGGTACAGGCTTTGTCGAAGGCCCTGTAGCATGAGGTAGTACTACCAACATGTCTGCCCTCAGTGTGGTCATTTGGTGCTACTGCCTCGTGGCTCCAGGGTGTCTGGGCTTGTCAGTCGAGCCTGCACTTCCTCCACAGGTCCGAGAAAGCATTGGGTGCTCCAGTTCTCTCTCTCTCCTCCCCCCCCCCCCCCCCTAAAGAAATGCAGGTTAGGGTT